ACATCAATTTTGATGGTGTTGATTTTTAAAAATCAAGTCCATCGTAGAACAATGCAAAGAAGTCTCTGTTGTGAAGCTTGATCAATCACTTTCGAGATTGAAAGAATTAGAAAATACTTTGATGAGCAACATTAAACAGAGTTATTATGACTATAACAACCTTTAAAATTATCTATACACAAATTTAGACAGTTCTCTTATTTTATTCGAAGAGAGAATAGAAACCGCTTTGAAGATCATTGACTCTGCAAATATGATAATGTCTTTGACTGTGCAGTTGAACTCTGTCAATACGCTGATAAAAACGTGTTTGTTATATTTAAAGCAGTGTCGTCACGACAAAAAGACTGGTTATGACCAGTTAATGGAGTTTTTGATTGACGACAATCTTCCGATACCAGACCAAACCATTACAACACCATTAAATAATACAACGAACAATACTGTAACTGAAATAAGACAAAATGTTATTGTAGATAACAACGACGTTGAAGTATTTTTAAACAACACCGTTCAACAAGATGATTTTACTGACACCCAACAACCAGAAGAATGAATGAGTGAATCAAGTGTTGATATGGAAGAAATTGATATCACAGCAAATCGAGACAAACAGATAAAAGAATCCCTCAAAGATGAAGACTTTGATTGTACTGGTCTCTGGGATTACCTTGAGGAGCACAAAAGGAAGTTATACACAGCGAAGTCATTACTCACCTTCTTCGATTCATGAGGTTGAAACGAAACTTAACAGCTCCAAATCGCAGAGTTCAAATGTTCCGCCTTTATGAATACATGAAGAAAAAACTGCACTGGAATCATTTTCTTTTGTATCAAGTCTTACTTCTGCATATTCCAAGGATGTATGGAAAAGGCAGATTGGTCTTGTAGTAAAAGCTCCTGGAAGTTCAGGAAGAAGTTGAGTTTTTTCCGAGGAAGAGAAAAGAAAAATTATCAACTTCATTGAACTACGGGAAGACGCTAAAGATCCAGCTGGATATCCAGAGTTGCTTTCTTTTGTACTAACAACTTTGGGGAGAGAGGATATTGACCTCAAAATGTTGTACACTTCCGTGAACAAAATGGCCAAATTATCCACCATAAAAGCGGAGCCAATGGAAGAGGAAAGAGTGGAGGTACAAACAACAGAGATTGTTGCGTATTTTGAGTTTCTCTCCAAGTACGCCAATGGCATTCCAGTAAGTTTCATATTCAATTGTGATGAATCAGGATTCCAAAGGTGGGTAGATAAAATGACAAGAACGGTCATTCTTTTAAATAGACCAAGATCTGGTGTTGTCAATGTACCCATTAGACGCGCAAGAAGTCGAACAACATTGATGGCAGCAAGTTGTATGGATGGCACAGCACTGAAACCTTTTTTCATTATACCAACAGAAAGTGTTGAGAAGGAGCTTTTAGAATTGGGTTTGACAAACAACAAAGCGTGCCTGAAGTACACAAAAAGCGTTCATGACAAATCAATTATTTGAAGAGTGGATCCGAAGTGTTTTTATTCCCAAGTTGCTCGAAAAAAGAAGAAAACATGGTTATAGCGGTATGTCAATTCTTGTAATGGATGGTTACGGTTCTCATCTTGGAGTAGGCGCTGTAGAAATGTTGACAGAGAATAACGTCAAAATAATACTACTCCCCCCACACTCATCTCATTTGTTGCAAATGTGTGATGTGGGGATATTTTGAAATCAGAAACGGGCATGTACAACTGATAAATCATTGATGAATGACACATACGGTCACCTTTCCTATATATCTGTACAAATTATGTCGATTGTCAACTCGTGGGAAAGAGTGACCACATCAAAGAATGTGGTGTCTTCCTTTATTGCATGCGGGTTAGTACCGAGACTACTTCAAAACTTGAGTACAGTATGTGAAGTGGTGCCATCTTCATGCACGAAGCTGAATTGCTTTTTCGAGCAGCAAGAAATTGACAGATGTATGAATGAGATGTCAAATGTAGAAGGCGATAATATCGACAACGTTAAAAAGGAAATACACAAAACTTTAAGAAAAAACGCAAGAGATTGTGCCAACTCGTAATTAGAAACCAAGTGTGGAATGATTTTGTTTTAAAGGAAAAGAGTTAAATTGCTTTAGTTCAACAAAACAATTGTTTACGAGTGATATTCTGTTTGCTCTTTAGTTTGAAAAATCAACGAGTAAAAGATAATTAAAAACTCTTTTTTTATAATTTTATGATGATTATTCAAAGTTGTTTTTCGTTAGTTAAAATGTGTTAATTTATTTTATATGTTAATTATTGTATATGGTAGTATAGTTTTATAGTTAAATAATTACACATAATATAATTTATATTATTATAATTTTGAAACTATACTTATAGTTAACCTAAAAAACTCTAAGGGTTTAACTGATTCTTCAGATAAAAATACAAGGTCTGTTTATTATCGAATCAACCATTGACTTAAGTTATCAGAATTGCGCTCTTCAAGTATAAACATTTCTTCAATATTCGTTGCAACTATGGTGCTAGAGGTTTGTTTTATGCACATTAACATCCAAATGTTTATTTTTTCATTTTGTGTGTTTGAAACAGTCGTTTTAACTAACGTTCAGTTCGTCTTACTTATTATGACATGCATGTTAATTCTACTAAAAGTGTTTGAAGTGACCACACACACTTGACTGACCCATTTCTTATGTGCGTCATTTTAAAGGGGTTTTTGGATTGCTCTTCTGAAAAGAAGGAAAAGAGAACTAAATAAGTTAATGATTATTTTCTAAGTTTTTGTAATGTTTCGAAAAAAAAAATAATTTAAAATAAAAACAAAATTAAAAACATTTTTGTCGTTTTTACAATGACGGTTATTGAATATATTGTGGAATGATTTCACACAAAAGAGAATATTCTGGGCGGGACAACTTTTTACAACTTATTCTATAATTTTTTTAAAAAAACTTTAATAACACTTTAAATAAAATTGAACATAATTCAAGTGGTCTAAAAAACAGGAAATCTCGAGTTTATACAATAAATATCTATTTTTTGAAGTTTATTATATGTGTATAACATTACACAACCCAAAAGGGAAAATCATCAAAAATTGGATTAATATTCCGATAAAAACAAGTCAATTAAAAAAACAAAAGTGCTATTTTAAGTGTTAAGACGTTTTAAATATAAATTTAAACCAGTTGAATAAATAGCTTGTTTATTTAAAACATAATTGTTAATATTCTTTATGAAATGGTAATGATAAATGCGGTCATATATTATTCTTTTTTATAAAAATAGTTTTTTAATATCGTTTATCATAAAAATATTGTTTTTATTTTATCAGTTATTTATCTTGTAAATTGTTTTGTAATGATTTGTTTTTTAATTAAATTTTGTTATTTACATTATCTTCGTGTATAGTCATTCCACTCTTTGATTGATTAGGACGAATAACTTGTTTAATTACTTACGGACTAAATTGGCTTCTACAATTCAAAAAATTCATTGTTGTATATTTCGTTCTAATGTTGGGCTGTTTTTGAAAAAAAAACTTGTTCGATGAGTTAAATTTTTTATTGTTGAAACCAAACAACAAAAAAGTTAAATAGATTGACGAATAATAACACTATTTGATTACACGCTCATAATTTCGAATAATAAAGTAGTTATTAATTTATTGTTAAAATTTGTACTGAATTTTATGAATTATATCTGTCTCATTTTTAATCTATACTATGTAAAGTATTTTTTCTATGATTATATTATTTTTTTATAAAGAAGGTTAATTATCAATTTTAATTTAACGTTTTTTAAGACAAAATTTTTGTTTTAACAATGATGGGATTTTGTCACTTAAAAAATAATATAGTTTTATAATTTAAAAAAATGGAATTTTTTAATCCAAATAAAGGGGTGGAAAAAACCGCTTTTGATAATTTTTGGTGAATAATGGTAAAATGTTTTCTAAATGTTATTTGATTTTATTTTATTTAAACAAAAAGAAAAAAACATCATTTACATTTTGCCAGAGCATTTTTTCGAAGTATTTAGAAGAAGGCTGTTAAAGTCTATTTATATTACAGTGAAAAGCTGAGTTATTAAATAATTTATTTGAAAGAAAACGGGAAACAGCTTACAATAGTAAGATATATAACCAAATATACATAAATTTTTAATTAATTTTTATAATAATATATTAGTGTAGTAAACACAGTGTTTGTTAGTCTTATATCGTTTGAATTAACAAACCAAATTATCATCTTT